TTTTTTTTTAAAGTTCTGTGACCTATGTTTTTTTTGTTTTGTGAATTGGAAAAATCTTTATCCCCTTCTTTCTTATGATTTCGGTTTTCCACCATGTCTTTGTTTGATGACTTTCGTAGAGTCATCACGGTAAGATGCCATTTGTGGAAAATGACGCAAGCGCATTTAACACTGGATATTCCCAAATTCGTTGTTCACCACGGATTACTAATGTTCTATTGCTGCCAATATAATATTTTTGCGTGAGACAATGACGATTGCTTCGGAAAATTTTATTGCAATAAACTTTAAGGCACGGAGCATAATATTAAAATCAACACATTGTGCGTTAAAATATACATAGATGGCAGCGATATGAAAAAAATTCTCGTCTAATGTCATCATCTCACCGTTGGTTAATTCATGCGCCTTCGCTGCGGGATGAGTTTAATTGTTTCTTGAATGTAGGTATGTATTGGTTTGGTTTTATCATTATATCAATCAACTCTCTATTCAGAAAGGTTACGCGAAAAAAATTTTCGTTATTTTACGTGGAAAGTTTCCTTTCTTTGACGAATGTTTCAAAAAACGGAATTTCCCGACCAAGTTTAACCAAAGAAGCAGCACATTTAAGAACGTCTATACTATTTGCCGTGAGCATATAAGTAGTTAAATCGACGCAATTGTTTAGTCTCGGTTCCCAGGTTAATCTGTAATTTTCTATGAGCCTATGAAATAATCAATCAATAAAAAACGGTTCCTAGAAATGATAATCGGCAATGAAGAGCACTCGCGCGACCTCTAATTCATGTCTTTATGCGTGAAACTCATGTAGTTAGCCTTTCTTTGACAGCGAATGAGTTTCTCTGCTATTGTGCTAGAAAGAATAAAATAGGTTGCGAGGTACTAAGAGTGTTTGCATAAAAATGGTTTCAATCTACATTTCACCTGCACTTTGTGACAATATTTTTATAACAATTGTTGTGTTTAAATTACAAAAGAAAAGTCTTTTAAATAGAATTTCATTGTGGGAAATACCGATTATTACTTCGACTTTGATTTTCGAGTAAAGTTGTTGAATTTTCAGTCATTGTGAATGAATGAATGAATGAATTGACTGAAGACATGTTTAAGAAATACTTTAGTATTTCATTAGATTATTATTAATTACATATATACGGTACGTATATATGTGTATACTGTATATATTGGATATTATTTATTTTATAAAAATTTTTTTACTTATAATATTAAAATAGAAAATTTAATGTATTTGTTAAAACTCAATATAGTATATTTGTTAAATTAATATTTTTGAAAAAATATATCTTGTAATATATATACTGTATATATATATTTTTGATAATTTAATAATAAAATAAAATATCAAATATAAAAATATATACGTATATTATATTCAACCATCAATTTATATCAACCGATTATCAAGTTGTTTATAATTTTTAAATCATATCTTATCAAAATACAATACATAATTGAAATAATAAATATTTTTATTTTCAAGAAAAATTTACTTTTATATATTTTAATATTAATCAATTAAGTTTACTAAATATTTTTATGCTAAATAAAATTAATATAATTAACTGCATATTATTTAAGTTTATTTTTATATACATATAAATTTAATGTTGTTTGAATTTTTAATATGTATATATAATTTTGATATTATTTAATTTAAATTTAAATACCATAATAAACATTCGAGTAAAATAAAAAATAATATTATATCATTGAATCACAAAATTAGTATCAAATTAGCACGTGGATAATATATGAATCACCTGACTGATGCCTGCCTGACCATCGATTATTTAGGGCATGATTTTTTTGGGTCGATCTCTTTCGGACAAAATGTCAGGCTCAGTAATGTTCAATACTTCTATGGTAATTTCAAACATTGTTACATCATTCTTTTGCACACACATGGAACCTATCCATTCGTTTATCAATTGAATATGGATGTAAAAATTTGTTCCCTTGATTTTGCATTGAAAAACAGGGGAAAATTACATTTGAATTATATTGGGATCATGCTCCGAAAACTTGCAAAAACTTTCATGAATTGGTAAGATACAGAAGACGATGACAGTAGATAAATGGATTTGTCACAAATTAATTAATTTTTACCCCGGCGATTTAACTAATAGGCAAAGCGTGGGTATTACAACAATGTTATTGTAAGTGCATTCATTGTATTTATATAATTTAATCAAAAATTGAATAATATTCTTATCACCTGCGCACTCGCTTTAGTTTCATAGAATAATTCCGGTAAATAGAAAATTCAAATTTTTCTTTTCTCGTCGAACTCCTCGAGCAAATTCACAAATCACCGATCTGACCAGGACACATTTACCCTTCGCCGTTATTTACTATTTCAGGATTTCATAATACAAGGCGGTGACCCAACCGGAACTGGTCGGGGAGGTTCATCAATCTAC